GCGCGTTTCGTGCACCCTTTCGAAACTCCACCGAAGGCCCTAGCGGCAGCGGGTGCATGCGGTACCCCCTTACACCTTTCACACGTTTCGTGGCCCGACAGGGAGCTGTACCGGAGGCGCCAGTGGCAGAGCCCGCATACCCCTGATACGTTTCGTGCTCCCATAGGGCCATAGGGGTTTGCATGCGTGCCCGCGCTCATTTCGGCACACCCCTCACCCCATAGGGAGCTCCATCGGAGGCCCCAATGGCAGATTCGCATGCGTGCCCGCGCCAATTTCGGTACACCCCCGCTCACGTGTCGGGTTGCAAACGGAGCTCCACCGACGGCCCCAGTGGCTCCTGGGGGGTCTAGGGTAGCGCGCCCCCCCCCAGATTTGACATAGAATGTCCACCAGCAACGGGGAGGAGGAGGATGAGGAGGAGGAGGAGGAGGAGGAGGAGGATGAGGAGGACGAGGAGGAGGAGGAGGAAGAGGAGGAGGAAAAGGAGGAGGAGGAGGAGGAGGAGGAGAAAGACCAGAGTAGAACCAAGATGCGTCAAAGATGCTGCAATACACCCTCCCATCCCAAGTTCCATCCTCATCTTAGCTGCTCTGATACACACGCTTTGAAACGTACCACGTGCCGTGTTCAAAACGTCCGTGTTCAAAACGTACGTGTTCAGTCTGCGTGTTGAGCTCCGTATCCATACGCTACGTGTTGCGTGTTGCGTATCCGGGCAGCTAAGATCCTCATGAGTCCCAACAATGCTTCCTCTTCGACTCAAGAGGCGCCACGCCCTTGACAGACCAGCACCCCCGGCACTCCGCGGGGGTATGCCATTCACGCGACCACGCCTCGACAAGGAACTCAACGCCTTGCCGAGTGTGCGCGGTGCCAAGGCGGGAGCCCAGTTTTGAAACGGAGCCGTCCTCCATCATTGACACGGCTGCGGACTCTCAAGACGAATGTTCGCGGCGCCGAGGTGGGAGCCCCGTTTTGAAAAGGATCCGGAGCGCGCCAGGGCCAGGCTCGTTGTCGAGGGACGGGGCTGGGGCCTGGGGCTGGGGCCGGGGCCGTTCTGGGCTGACGGCGATGATGATGATGATGATGATGATGATGATGATGATGATGATGATGATGATGATGATGATGATGATGATGATGATGATGATGATGATGATGATGATGATGATGATGATGATGATGATGCTGATGCTGATGCTGATGCTGATGATGATGATGATGATGATGATGATGATGATGATGATGGTGATGGTGATGGTGATGGTGATGGTGATGGTGATGGTGGTGATGGTGATGGTGATGGTGATGGTGATGGTGATGATGGTGGTCATGATGATGCTGCTGATGATGATGCTGCTGATGATGATAAGGATGATACTGCTGCTGACGACGAAGATGATGCTGATGATGACGATGATGCTGCTGCTGATTATGATGAGGGTGATGCTGATGCTGATGCTGATGATGCTGATGATGATAGCGACGACGATGATGATGCTGATAATGATGATGCTGATGATGGCAGACTCGCGCATACTCAGACTCACTCATAGGTACTCAGACTCAGTCAAATCACTTCCTGACCCAGGCTCACTCATACTCAGATTCATTGTTCCCTTCACGCAGACTCAGTCTCATCAATTCCTCATTCAGGCTCACTCATGCTCATAATCATTCACGCGCACGCATTGTGAGGATGTCTCAGGCGAGGCGCTGGTTTCAGCACTCCAAGGGGGAGCCGCCAGGGTGTATCTCACTCCTCCGTTCGCGCCCGGATTGTGGCGATGTCTCAGGTGTTTTGCTTGTTTGGGTGTTCAACGTCCGTTGCATTCAGAGCAGATTGTGAGGATGTCTCACGCGAGGTGTTGGTTTCAGCACTCCAAAGGGGGAGCCGCCAGGGGGTATCTCATGCCTCCGTTCGCGCCCACATCGCGGGGACGTCTCAGGCGGTTTGCTTGTTTGGGTGCTTATCATCCTTTGCTTTCAGAACAGACTGTGAGGATGTCTCAGGCGGTTTGCCTGCTTCTGCCCCCCCAGACTTTTTTGTTTTGGTGGTCCAGTGATCACCCACCGCGATACAGCAGGCGTGGCCTATGGGCACCCCAAGGGGCAGCCGCCAGGGGTGGAGACACTCGAGGATTCGCGCTCGGATTGGGGGGATGTCTCAGGCGGTTTGCCCGTTTCTGCCCCCCCCCTCAGATTTTTCCCAACCATCCTGTGGTGTTGGGTCCTCGTTTTGAAGAGACGGTGGCCCGCGTCTCCTCCCCCTCCTCCTTGCGTTTCACCCACCCAGCACAGCGTTTCGTAGCCCCATAGGGAGCTCCACCGAAGGCCCCAGTGGCAGGGTTCGCATGGCGGCCTCGGGCCATTTCGGCACACCCCTCACGAGGATCGTGGCCCCATAGGGAGCTCCACCGAAGGCGCCAGTGGCAGGGTTCGCATGGCGGCCTCGGGCCATTTCGGCACACCCCTCACGACGATCGTAGACCCATAAGGGAGCTCCACCGAAGGCGCCAGTGGCAGGGTTCGCATGGCGGCCTCGGGCCATTTCGGCACACCCCTCACGAGGATCGTGGCCCCATAGGGAGCTCCACCGAAGGCGCCAGTGGCAGGGTTCGCATGGCGGCCTCGGGCCATTTCGGCACACCCCTCACGACGATCGTGGACCCATAAAGGGAGCTCCACCGAAGGCGCCAGTGGCAGGGTTCGCATGGCGGCCTCGGGCCATTTCGGCACACCCCTCACGAGGATCGTGGCCCCATAGGGAGCTCCACCGAAGGCCCTAGTGGCAGGGTTCGCATGGCGGCCTCGGGCCATTTCGGCACACCCCTCACGAGGATCGTGGCCCCATAGGGAGCTCCACCGACTGCCCCCAGTGGCAGGGTTCGCATGGCGGCCTCGGGCCATTTCGGCACACCCCTCACGAGGATCGTGGCCCCATAGGGAGCTCCACCGAAGGCGCCAGTGGCAGGGTTCGCATGGCGGCCTCGGGCCATTTCGGCACACCCCTCACGAGGATCGTGGCCCCATAGGGAGCTCCACTGAAGGCGCCAGTGGCAGGGGTCGCATGGCGGCCTCGGGCCATTTCGGCACACCCCTCACGAGGATCGTGGCCCCATAGGGAGCTCCACCGAAGGCGCCAGTGGCAGGGTTCGCATGGCGGCCTCGGGCCATTTCGGCACACCCCTCACGAGGATCGTGGCCCCATAGGGAGCTCCACCGAAGGCCCAGTGGCAGGGTTCGCATGGCGGCCTCGGGCCATTTCGGCACACCCCTCACGAGGACCGTGGCCCCACTGGAGCTCCACCGAAGGCGCCAGTGGCAGGGTTCGCATGGCGGCCCCGGGCCATTTCGGCACACCCCTCACGAGGATCGTGGCCCCATAGTTGTGCTGCTTCAACAACCGCGCCTGGGCGTCGTACTCCGCCTTGTCGACGTGCAACGCCACCTCCTCCCTCATGGCTCTCAAGGCCCTTTCCTGCTTCTGCTCCTCGGTGAGAGGGACGCCGTCCTTGTCGTCGTCGGCGCCCGCGAAGACGGCCACGAACGTGTCCCTGAGCATGTCGGGCTCCGGCGGGAAGCCGTGGCCACATAGGGAGCGCGGGCGAAGATGGTATTCACAATTGCGGTATTCACAACTGCATATGGTTGGGTCTTTCGCCCGGATAATTTGTTTGTGGTCCAGTGCTCACCGTGAGAAAGCAGGCGTGGCATTTGGGCACCCCAAGGCAGAGCCGCCAGGGGTGGGGACACTTCAGGATTCGCGCGCCGATTCGGGGGATGGCTCAGGAGGCTTGGTCTGTTTCTGCTCCCCCCATAGTTTTCTTTGGGCTTGTGTGCTCCTCACTGACTTACTCAATCACCTCCTTCCCCTTTTCCTCACTCGGACGCGCTCATTCGCACTCGGACTTACTCATCAGCACCTCTTCCAAGTTCAGGCCACCCATCACATTCAGACTCGCTCATATTCAGATTCAATCGTATTCAGACTCACACTTTCTTATCGCTTCTACGTAGACTCGCTCAAACTCAGACTCACCCACGCCCAGACCACCTCACACTCAGACTCGCTCGCACTCAGTCTCTCGGACCTACTCGTACTCACACTGACTATATCCAGGAATCGCTCGCACTCAGGCTCGATCATACCCAGATGCGCTCACACTCCGACTCGCTGACACGCAGATCACTTACGCTCATATTCACTCGCGCTAAGGCTCACACATAAATCATTACCGCGATATAGCCAGCGTGGCACTTGGGCACCCCGGGTGCCAGCAGGTGCCGCTTGGGCACCCCAGGTGCCAGCAGGCGCCGCGAGTTACACGCCAGAGAGCGGGCGTAGTAACGCCATGCGCGGCTGCCTGAGCTGCCGCGGGGAGAATGGTAAATTCCCCCTCGCTCTTCCCCTTGTGTTTCCCTCGTTTCTCCTGAAAGATGTCCAGAGGAGGAGGAGGAGGAGGAGGAGGAGGAGGAGGAGGAGGAAGAGGAGGAGGAGGAGGAGGAGGAGGAGGAGGAGGAGGAGGAGAAGGAGGAGGAGGATGAGGAGGAGGAGGAGGAGGAGGACGTCACTGAAGTCGTCGCTGTCGTCGTTGTCATCGCCGCGCCTGCCGTAAACGCGGATTCGCTCTCGCACCCAGATGCTCATAGACAGAGTTTCTCAGCGAAACGTGACAGGAGTATGAGACGCACATCTGGAGATCGCCGCGTTGAGTAGTGAAAGTATCCACGCACTGCTTTCCCAGGCGCCCAGGGTGGGGGGCAGCAGCAGGGGTATATGGATCGGCCGCCGATCGTCGAAGCAACGCTGCGGCGTCCCCCCCCCCCGCGGAGGTGCACGAGGCGCCCCCCCAGATGTGCCAAGCCTCTTGGATCCGGGGCCCGTGGAGCGCGCGCCCCGGGCGTGTGCGCGTGCGCGGTCGGACTCCCGCAGTCCCTCGGGCACGGCGCGGCCGCGGATGGCGCACGCGTGCGCGTGGCCCTGGCTGCTCCACAGCCGCTTTGGCCCAGGACCCCGGCCCCACCGCCCCGCCCGCGCAGCAGCCGGGGAGAGGCGCGCATGTCCGCCGCCCGCGTCGCCTTCGCGCGCGCCGCGGGGGCCGCCGGGCGCCTCCGCGGAGGCCTGGCCGTGGAGGGGGCGGCCGCCGGCCGCGAGCCGCCCAGCTCCGTGGCGTCGGGCGCGGGGCGCTTCTCGGCCTTCCTGGGGGGCGGCCACGCGCTCCGCGCGCAGGGCCACGAGCCGGCCAGGACAGTCGAGGGAGGTGTGGCCTGGGGGGCAAGGCCCACTCGGATGCGACCGATCCGCTTCGATGCGCACCGATTTCGGCTGGTTCGAGGCGATTCGATCCTCCATGTTCTGGAGTGCCCCCCCTCCCCACACCGGGAATCGACGAGCCCAACGGTGACTTCGGGTTGGGTTGGGGTGGTTTGGTAGGTCGAAGCCAGTTGCCCTCGCCCCTAGCCAGCACACCAGCCAGCCCAACCAGTCCGACCACCAACCAACAAACCAGCCAAGCAGCCTAACCGACCCAACCGACCCAACCCGCCACCACACCAACCCGCCTACCCCCGCCGCCTGCCCTCCGTCACCACCAAGGAGGGGAAGTGTTTCTTACCAGCGAAGATCTGGACCCCCAACGCCATGATTTTTTCATAACGTCGACTCTGGAGGCCTCGACCCATTCCCTAGGACCGGTTTGTCATTCTGAGTCGTTTTTTGACGGTCCCGATGCCCGGCGAGGGCCCCCCCCCGGAGGCCCAAAACAGCGAAATATCTGCCGTCGTGATTTCTCATGGCTCGAGGGGCCTGGGATGGCTGTGCACCCAAATCGCACCATACCGTGGTGGACTGGCCTCCGCCCCAAGGACGGTCCGGGGCGGGGCCACACCGCACCACCCCTGTGGGGGAGCGGGGGCTCCCAGGGCCGGCGTCCCGAGCGCGGCCGGGGGGAGCCAAGTCGCACCGCACCTCTGGGGGAGCCGGCTCCCGGGCGGGCGTTCCGAGCACGGTCCTTCGGCAGCAAGCTGGGGGCCCCCAAACGGGGTGGTGGCCACTCCGTGTGGTGAGCCGGTGGGGATTCGGGGTCACCGCACGGCTTCGGGGCCCGAGTCGTGCTCCGAGGACGTCTCGGGCGACTGGGGCCTCCAGGATCCCAAGGCCGTGCGTGGACGGACCGTGCGGTGAGGTCTCTTGGGGTTGCGAGGTCACCGCGCAGTCTGTCACCGCACCGTTTCGGGACTCCAGAAAAGCATGGGAGCATGCATACCCTCTTAATTCCTTCTCTAGCGTCGATCAGCGTGGATTAGCGTCTGGGAGTCGAGGAGGTAGCGCCGATTTAGCGTCGGCTAGCGTCGATTAGCGTCGGTGTAGCGTCGATGTAGCGTCGATGTAGCGTCGACGTATCGTCGACTCGCAAGTGCCGACAAGATGGTATGGGAGGCTCCCATGAGTCACCACAGAACGGTCCGGGGCCGGGGGGGTGGCCACATCGAACCGTACCGCGGGGGACCAGCTTCCCAGACGGGCGCCTCAAGCACGGTCGTGGGGGCAAAATCGCACCGCATACCGTGGGGGACCAGCCTCTCGGGCGGACCGAAGTGCGATGCTGTCGTTACTTTCTACTGCACATTGCGCCCTCCCGACAGCGTTCAAGGAGCGCGCAGGTCGTCCCAAACGGCTGCTGGAAGCTCCCGTGATGGCCCGAAACCGTTCGGAGATTTCGGACGTGCTCACATCTATCTGGACTTCCAGGCTGGATCCGCCAAGATCTGATCTTCAAAAGGCCTCTCAGGACAAGTCTGGGAGTCCATCTTTGACTCTCGGAGGCGGAGAGCTCCGGGGGCCTCGCACTGAAAAGAGCACGACGCCGAAGGCTTGGGGAGCTGGCCGACGATTAAGATCGAGGGTAGACAAGAAAAGGCGTCCAGCCGGCTCTCTCCCCCTCTTGGAGCCCCTGGGATACCCCCCAGAGGTTTCTGGAGGAGAAGTGGCGGAGGACAGAGAAGGCGAGGAGGAGAACGGGGAGGCGGAGGACAGAGAAGGCGAGGAGGAGGACAGAGAAGGCGAGGAGAGGTAGCACCCAGTGGCGGAAGGTCATTACCGCCCATCCTTCGGGCAGCATCCCTGGAGCACTCGTCAGGACGAGAGGGTTGGGGAACAGGTTTCTGGCGTTTGTCGGAACGCCTGCGGCGGTCCTCTGAGATGTGACTTGTTTCCGCGAAGTCTCCGGACGTTCTAGGAGAGCGTGTCAAGGGGAGGGGGGAGATCCAAGGGAAGCATGAGGAGGAAGATAACGACGAAGAAGAGAAAAGTGATGAAAGGTAAGAGCCATGAGGAGGAGAAGGAGGAGGATGAGGAGGACGAGGAAGAGGAGGATGAGCAGGAAGAGGAGGAGGAGGAGCAGGGAGGGAGGGAGGGAAACATGGACGGAGAGAAGAATAATGAGGGGAATGATGATGATGATGATGATGATGATGATGATGATGATGATGATGATGATGATGATGATGATGATGATGATGATGATGATGATGATGATGAGGTGGTGGTTGTGATGATGATGATGATGATGATGATGATGATGATGATGATGATGATGATGATGATGATGATGATGATGATGATGATGATGATGGGGAGGAGGAGGAGGAGGAGGAGGAGGAGGAGGAGGAGGAGGAGGAGGAGGAGGGGAGAAGGGGAGAGCAAAGGGAGAAGAAGGAGGACGAGGACGAGGAGGCAGAGGAGGAGGGTGAGGCCACTGAGAAGCATGACGAGAACACGAAGCAGAGCCGGGTAACTCAGAACCTCAGGGACGAGGATCATGAGAAGGAGAAATGCACACGCACACACGCACACACACATGTTGTGCCAAGAAGAGGCAGCGTTCGCAGCGGAAGAAGCAAAACGGAGGATGATGAGGGGCGCGGCAGCACTCGCGACGAGCGTCGCGACGACGCTCCCAGACATGCCTGCGAGGGGTGCCGCCTTGGCAGCCCGCGCATTCCTCCAAGCCAGGGCCGCAGGCTGGAGCCCGCTCGCCAGGCCCCTGGGCGATGGCCGCGCTCGGGGTGCCTCGGGGCCTCGGGCGCCCGCCTGGCCTCGGGCGCCCCCCGCCCGGCCTCGGGCGCCCGCCCCCCCCGCGACCAGGAGCTGCCTGCAGTCCCTGCTGGAGGAGCTCGCCTGCGCCACGTACGCGCCCGTCACCCAGGCGGGGCGGCTCCTGGTCGCCAGCCCTCCCTGCGAGCTGGGGCGCCGGCCCAGGCCTCGGAGGAGACGAATAAGAATAACAGTAATAATAATATTCTTAATCTCAATTTTACTATTACTACTACTACTACTGCTGCTGCTGCTGCTGCTACTACTACTACTACTCCTCCTCCTACTACTACGACTACTACTACTACTACTACTACTACTACTTCTTCTACTTCTACTACTACTACTACTACTACTATTATTATTTCCACCACTACTACTACTACTACTACTACTACTACTACTACTACTACTACTACTACTACTACTACTAACAATAATAATAATGATAATAATAATATTATTATTCGAAAAACTTATACTAGTAATTTCAACAGTACTCATGATAACAATACTAGCAATACGAATACCAGTTTTTTATTAAAACAATCGTTTCTTATCTTTATTATTCTTTTGATTTCCAGTAGCATTCGTAGACGGTTTATAGTAAGAACATGTATGAGTATTAGTATTAGCATTCGTATTCGTATTCGTATTCGTATTCGTATTCGTATTCGTATTAGTATTACTATTAGTATCAGTATTCGTTTCCGTACTAGTATTCGCATTCGTGCTAGTATTAGTCTTCGTCTTAGCCCTCGTATCAGTATTAGTATTCGTATTAGTATTCGTATTAGTATTCGTATTCGTATTCGTATTAGTATCCGTATTAGTATTATCAGTAGTATTAACGTTAGTATTCGTATTCGTATTAGTATGAGTATTAGTATTAGTATTAGTATTAGTATTAGTATTAGTATTAGTATTAGTATTAGTATTCGTATTCGTATTCGTATTCGTATTCGTATTATTATTATTAGTAGTAGTAGTCGTAGTAGTAGTAGTAGTAGTAGTATTAGTATTTGTCTTTGTCTTTGTATTATCAGTAGTAGTATTAGTATTAGTATTAGTATTAGGATTCGTATTAGTATTAGTATTCGTATTAGTATTCGTATTAGTATTAATGTTAGTATCAGTACCAGTATCAGTATTAGTATTAGTATTCGTAGTATTAGTATTAGTACTAGTATTAGTACTAGTATTTGTATTAGTATTAGTATTATTATCAGTATTCGTACTATCATTATTGTTAATAGTATTAATATCATTGATCGTATTATCATTATTATTATTGTTATTAGTTTTTTTATTATTAGTACTATCATTATTATTCGCATTATCATTATCACTATCATCCGTATTATTAGTATTATTTATATTATTACTATCATCGTGATGCATAATCATAATAATGCTAACGGCATAGAAACACATAGACTCTTGGCGCCGCGGACCTCCGAAAGTTTATATGCTTTTATGTGTGACTTTCCCTTGCTCCTCTGCAGGCTGCAGAGGTTCGCCGACAGGGACGCGCCCTAGGCGAACGTGCAGTGCCGGGGCGGTGCACCTGCGACTGCCGGTTGCGCGCCGTGGCGCGCCTCGCCGCGGCCAGGGCGAGGGCCGCGCGGCTCTCGGCGCCGGCCGGCCGGCGTCCGCCGCGCGGTGCGGCAGCGCGGTGCCGCGCGCAAGGGCGCGAGTGAGCGTCGGCCTCGGTCGCCAGGCAGCCCTGCAGCACTGCCTGGGCTCGCCTCGGGCTCGCCGGTCCCCTGGCTCCCACGCCTGCCCCGGAGTTCTCTGCTCGCGCCGCACGCTGCAGCTCCCCCTGCTCGCCACCTTCACGAGTCACAAGGACTCGCACGGGAACTTTTTCTGTCAGTCTTCGCGTTCACCGCCCGCTGTTTCTAGTCAGTCATCGTCAGTTCTCGCTGGACGAGCCGAAGACGGTCCCAAAACGAGCTGACGGCATTCTGGTTTGGGGGGCTCTTTGGGCCCCAGAGGTGCGTTGAAGAGCTCGTGAGGGGACAGCCCCCTGGGTCCCTTGGTCCCCGTCTCAAGCGGGACTCTGGACTCCTGGGAAGTAAGGAAGGGGGTCGGCCAAGCATCTCACACGTTTTGTCACCCCAGCAGGCGGGGGTCGGCGGATTAGTCTTTTGCTACATGTTCGGGGCGGTGGGCGGTGGGCCAATCGCGCGGCTGGGCATCGCAACCTAGGTAGTCGGCTGGGCATGGCTGCCTTGGTAGTCTGCTGGGCACGGCGTGATTCGCGTCCCGAAACCCTCTGATCTCTCCGCACGCCAGGTCTGGACCCCGGAGGCCCATTCTAGCATCTGACGCCAGCCGATGTCCGAACGCCACTGGGCATCGTGACCGACATTTGCTTCAGAGAGGCAGCCTCTTGCCTGGAGCTGCAACTCTCGAGCCCCGCACTGTCCCGACACACGGAGGTCATGTTCCTTCACCCTCCGGAGCCGCCACGCCGACCCCGTGCATCGCTGGTGTGAAATGTGGGGGCAGAGCGCTGGGCGGCTGGATCCCCAGCGCTGCGGCGCGCTCGGGGTGGTCCCACCCTTTTTGAATGTGTCGGGTCCCAGCGCCAATCTCTTCCAGTTCTGCTGCGCTCTCCTCGGCAGGCTTATCGCGGGCTGAGAGGCGCCGGCCGAGTCTCACAGTGTCCAGGGTCGGGACTGGCCCGTGCGAGCCCTACTCTCAGAGCCTCCTCCCGCTCCTCTCTTCCTGCTCGTCGTCGTCATCGTCGTCGTCCTCCTCCACCGCCTCCTCCTCCTCTCCCCCCCTCCCTCAGCACTTACACATTATGGGTGCTACTCTCCTCTGCCCTGTGACTCTGTCCGGAAGATACTCGGCCCTCTCCGCGTTTTTCTTGTTTACGCAGGAAGCATTGTTCTTTTTTGCATCGTTTGTAAAGTCCGCTATTTTTAGGTGTTTCAAACTTGTGCTCCTGCTGCAGCGTGGGCCTCATTTTCGGATTCGCGCTGTGCTCCCGTCGTTCAGACTGGCGCTCTCGCCCAAGCGTGGGTCACTTTTCTGGATCTGAGTTCTTTTTCATCGTTGTCACACCGTTATTTCCCCTCCGCCTTCCCCTGGTCCTCCTGCTCCTCCCGCTTCCTCCACTCCAGCTCCTGCTGCTGCGGCTGCTCTTCGTCCTCGTGCTCTTTTTTCCTCTTCTTTTACCTCCTGCTCATTCTCCTGCTTATCTGCCACCTCCTCCTCCTTCTCCAATTCACGCGGCTCCTCGTTTTTTGTTGTTGTTCGTTTTTGTTGGTTAAACATCGCGTAACACGATAAGGGGCCCTCTTTGGATTTCCAGGTCCGCAATGACCCGCGCTGGCGGATGGAGGAACACCATCGCAATAGGAAGAGATGGGTGGGATGGGGTAGGATATCAGATACGGCGCGAGCGCGCCTAGCTTGCCCTCTCCCGCTCTCTCCTTCTCCCCCTCCCCTTGTGGGGAGTCCCTCAGGCTTGGGGTTCTGCGAGGGTGAGCTCCCCTCCGAATCCTCAGGAGCCGCCCGTGCACCTGGTGTCCCGAATGCATGGCGGCGGGCCGGGTCGAGCGCAAAGCTGTCCGCGCCCCCGCGGTTGTACATAGCGGTCGGCCGGCCAGGCACAGTCGGTCGGCCGCAGTCGGCTGTGTGCCAGTCGGCCAGCCAGCCGCTCGGTGCCAAGGGCTGGCCAGCTTCCCGCCTCGTCGCGGGGCGCTGTTCGAGAGTTCTGCTTCAGCTCGCGTCGGCATCTGCAATGGGTGTGGTACCCCGGGGTGGGGTTTGCGTTCGACGCCGTTGGGGCTTTGGGGGCCACCACGCTGCGCCAAAGGTTTGAGGAGCCTTCGTCTGGGCGCTGCAGAGATCTCTGTCGAGGTCCTCGCCCGCCCCCCCCACGCGCGAGTTGCAAACCACACCCTTCGCAAACCACACCCTTCGGAGTTGCCGTTCGAGGCTCGTGCTGGTTGGAGTCGGCTGGGGGTCTGAGGTGGCCCAGCACTGATCCAGGCGAGCAGGAAGGGGTGGCGAGCTTTGAGGTTCTGGCGTCGACAAGGTTTTTGGTATTTTTCGGCTTCGGGGGGCCGTTTTCGGTTCCCAGGACAATCAAACACGGACCCGGGTTGACACAAATGCACCAGATGGATCCCGTGAGGAGTCCGGGGATTGAGCTTCAGCAGACCTGACCGATTCTCTGGGGTCCTCCGCCTCCTCCTCCTCCTCCTCCTTCTCCGCCCCCTCCTTCTCTTCTTCCTTCTCCTCTTCCTCCTCCTCCTCCATCTCGTCCTCCCAACCAGTTCAGACCCCCTGGCCGCCTCCAAGGTCCCGAGAGTTCTGCTCCAGCTCGAAGCTGCCGCTGGCGCGTCAACTTTTAGGCCCGCGGTGCTCAAGCGTACAGCGAGGTGTTGATTAGCAGCAGACGGGGGGCACTCGAACTGTGTCGACTTTTGGGCCTGCGGCTTCCGTTCGTGGCGGGGTGGTGAGCAGCAGGTGATGCGCGTTCGAGATGGAGTGTTGATGCGAGTTCAGGGAAATGATCTCGGACTGGACCCCCAATCAGTGCTCCGACATGCTTCTGTAAGTGATGCCACTCTCTCTCTATCCAGTTGCCTGCGGCAAACCCCGCCACCGCGCCAACTCAGCAGCGCAGCAGGAAGGATGTAGAGTTAAGGACGCACGTTGGGGCTTCTCTCGGGTCTCGTTTGGGCCTTTCGGGAGCCTTTTAGGTCTGTTTGGGAGGCCCTTCGTGGTCTGTATGGGTGATCTCTGGGAGGTCTCTTGGGGTTCTTCCGGGCTTCTCTTGGGCGTGTTGGTGTCCTCTGGGGGCCGCTTGGGGGCCTCCTGGGGGCATGTAGGGGGTCTTGGAGACAATCCTGCAGGGAAAGGCTGTCAAGGTCACTTTCATTTTCTCCTCTTGGGCTTTTTTTTGCCCCCCTTGGAGCCTTCTCGGGGGCCTCTTGGGCCGTCTTCGGGGCATCTTGGGCCGTCTTGGGGTCCCTTGGGGCCGTCTTGAGAGCTATCTTGGAACGCCTCTGGGCCGTCTTGGGGCTCTCTAGGGACCCTGCCTTGGAGCCCTCTTGGGGACCTTCGGAAGCCAGTGTGCCAGTATGTTTAAAACTATGCTTTTGTTGTTGCTCTCGAGGGCCTGCTGGGCGTTCTTTTGGAGCACTCTTGGGCCGTCTTGGGGGCCTCTTGGATCGTCTTGAAGGCATGCCTTCGTGGGCGATCTTGGGACTGCCGTGAAGGCCTTTTGGCCGCCTTGGGGCGCGAACTTGGCTGTCTTTGAGAGTGTTGTTGTCAGTTTCGACTGTCTTCGGGTGTTTTTGTTGGGCAGTCCCTGTTGATTTTGATGGTTTTGTTGTTTTTGGCTGTTTTGCACCCCTCTGCCAGAGCCTCTCTGCTAAAAGGCATCTCCAAGCAGTCATCTGTTATGGACAGTTGACCAATTAACCAACGTCTGCTCCAGAGAGAGGGGGATGGTTTTCGGACCACGCGCGCGGCGAGGGGATGGGGTCGGCTCCAGAACGCATCAAAAGCAACTTTATCAGACATGAGATGAGTATTCCAGCACGCCCCAGCGTGTGCAAGGCACGGTGGCGGATTGTATCTTCATGTATTATCTGCCCCGTCTTATCAAACAACGAACCGGCCGAACATCAGATAATTGTTTCGAATGTCAATGTGCCACCGCTGACTGCAAGGTGTCTGTGACCCAACACAACCGAATATGACAACAGCATCTGGAGCTTTTCACGTGTCTATGCCAATGGTTTCTATGGCATATATATATATATGCATGTGTGATTCTGGCGAATGGGACCCATTGGGTTTCCTCGTCATCGCCGTCGTCGATTTCCTCTGCACTCCTGCTCCTGGTTCTCGCTCCTATTCCTTCCCACGGCTACGCCGTGCCATTGCCACCTCCAGTGCCACTGCCACTGCCACTGCCGCTGCCGCCATACATTGCCCCTGCCGTTACCTCTATCACTACCCCAGGGTCTGGCCTCACGCCTGGCTGGCCCCCCGGGCTCTTGCGCCGCCTGGGCTCCAGCACCGACTGCGCGTTCGACGTGCCTCCTCCTCGCGAGCGCGCCTGCTCCGCCCGCGGTGGTGGCCTCGCGCTCGCGAGCCGCACGCCGACAGCTCTGGAGGGACGCCGTGGTCTTGCGCCGCTTTGGGCAGCGCCTTCGGCCTCTGGGCTGCTGGCTGTCGCCGTAGGGGGCGGCTCCTGGCTGCCAGACCAGCGCTCTCGGGACGATCTTGGGAGCTGTTGGGGCCGTCTTGGGCCGTCTTGGGCCTTTTGGGCCCAGCTTGGGGCTCGTTTGGGCCATCTTGGGGCCATCTTCGTGCCTGAAAAGCGCATCGGAAGCGAAACAGCGAGAAGATACTCACCATATTTTATTTTTTTACTAGTATTACTTATTCTATCAGCCAGCGTTGACTCCCAATAGATTCGACGACTCAAATCAAGGAACCAGAGGAATCAAGCATGCTTGGAATCCGCAACTCAGCAAGCAAGCAAGCAAGCGTGCAAGCAAGCGCGCAAGCAATCAAGCAAGCAAGCAAGCAGGCAGGCATAGGCATAGGCGTAGACATAGAAGTTAGGGGGGAGACATAGGCATAGGCATAGGCATAGGCATAGGCATAGGCTTAGGCATAGGCATAGGCATAGGCATAGGCATAGGCGTAGGCATAGGCATAGGCATAGGCACAGCCATAGGAATTAGGGGGGCATAGGAATAGCAGCCAGCGTAGACTCCAGATAGATTAGACGACTCAAATCAAGGAACCAAATCAAGCATGCTTGGAATCAGGAACTCAGCAAGCAAGCAAACGTGCAAGCAAGCGCGCGCGCAAGCAAACAAGCAAGCAAGCAAGCAAGCAAGCAAGCAAGCAAACAAGCAATCAAGCAAGCAAGCAAGTGTGCAAGCGCGCCAGCAAGCAAGCCAGCAAGCAAGCAAGCAAGCGGGCATAGGCATAGGCATAGGCGTAGGCATAGGAGTTAGGGGGAATGCATAGGCATAGGCACAGGCATAGCCATAGGAAATGGGGGGGCATAGGAATGAGGGGGGGGGGCAACGGAAAAATTAGTGTGGAGAACACATGTGGCCCTCTTGGGGGGTCCTGAGGGGGCTCCGAGTGTACTTGGATCCGTCTTGTGGGCCTCGTCGGGCCTCTAGGAGGCATATCGTAAGCTATCTCGAACCATCTTCGGCTACCTTGAGCCGAAAAGGGGTTTTGGAAGAGGGGCAAAAGATGTCGTTAGACCACCGTAGCCCAAACGACTCTTAGGATGTTCATTGCGGGAGATGGCCCAGTGACAAACAATCGTATGATAATCAGTCGTGACTAACATCATTCCTGGGGCGTCAACGCCACCAAGCAACGTGTCTGCTGCGTCCTGACGATCGTAGTCCGTGCCAGAACACCATTCCTGGGACTTCATCAACGCAACCGTTGCGTCCTGAACGTCCTAGATCGTGCCAGAAGGCAGTTCCTGGAACTCCAACCCTACGATTCCTTGAGCATGCTGCGAACTTTGAGACGGAATGCGCGCGGCGCTGAGGCGCGAGCCACATTTTGAGAAGGACCCGCCCTCCATTTTTGAAATGGCTGCGAACTTTTAAGATGAATGTGCACGGTGCCAAAGCGAGAGCCCCATGTTGAAAAGGATCCGCCTTCCATCCCTGAAGCGGTCGCAAATTCTAGACGCTTCGCGTAACCCCACCAACGCCTACCGCTCCCTGTCCGCTGCCTCGGAGCCGCCGACCCCAAAAAAGTAGCCCCACCAGCCTGCTCGGAGTTTGGCGCCGCAATGGCGACTCACTCCGTTGCACTCGCACCCGTGGCCGCTTGTACACTTTGGTTTACTGGGCGGCGCCTAGGTGCGTCTGCTGGTGAATGCTGAGCATTTTGTTCAGTGCATGTGCATCTGCACGCTTGCTGTGCAAGTAGCTTTGTGCCGCCCGCCCCGGACATTGCCTCTCGCCGCCAGACCGTTGTCGCGCGGCCGCCGACCAAAAAGTAACCCCACCAGCGCCTTCGCCGCCTGATGGTTGTCTCGCGGCCGCGACCAAAAAAGTAACCCCACCAGCGTCCGTAGCCCCCCTGGCTCAAGCCCCCCTGGCGCAAGCCTGGCTCAAGCCATCTCGGCTCGAACACGCCCCTTCTCAGGTACACGCTCGGCCCGTCGCCATGTCCGCCTTCGGGGCGGCCCTCTCCAGGGCCGCGCTGCGCCGCTGTTAGCGGCTGGTGGCGGCGCGGCGGGACGCCGCGCCTGGGCTTGGCGGCCCTCCGCCGCCGCCGCCGCTGCCGCCGCCGCCGTCGGAGGCGGCCGGCGGCCAGCCCGGCTCGGCCCCCGGCTGGCTGGCGGTGGTTTCCGCCGCCGCCGCCGCTGCCGCTGCCGCTGCCGGCTCCCCGCCGGCGGCGGCGGCGGCGGAGAGCGCGGTGGCCGGCGCCGCCACGGCCGCCCCGAGGCCGTCGGCGGCGCGGCCGCCGCCGCTGCTGCCGCCGCTGCCGTCGCCACCGCTGCTGCTGCCGCCGCCGGATCCCCTCCGGTGGCGGCGGCGGCCGGCGGCGCCGTGGCTGGCGTGGCGGCCGCTGTCGCGGCGGCCGCTGCTGCCGCCGCTGCCGGCTCCCCGGCGGCGGCGGCGGCGGCGGCGGGCTCGGTGGCCTGCGCCGCCGCGGCCGCCCCCGCGGCCGCCCGCGGCGAGGCCGCTGGCGCGGCGGCTGCGGCGGCCGCCGCCGCCGCCCCCGCCGCCCCCCCGCGGCTGCAGCGGCCGCAAAGGCAGCAGCTGCCGCAGCCGCTGCAGCAGCAGCCGCAGCAGCAGCAGCAGTAGCAGCAGCAGCGGCAGCAGCAGCAGCTTCAGGAGCAGCAGCAGCAGCTGCAGCAGCAGCAGCAGCAGCAGCCGCAGCAGCAGCAGCAGCAGCAGCAGCAGCAGCAGCAGCAGCAGCAGCAGCAGCAGCAGCAGCACCTGCAGCCGCAGCCGCAGCAGCAGCAACAGCAGCAGCAGCAGCAGCAGCAGCAGCAGCAGCCACAGCAGCAGGACAGCAGCATCAGCAGCAACAGCAGCAGCAGCAGCAGCAGCAGCAGCAGCAGCAGCAACATAACCCAGCAGCTGCAGCAGCAGCAGCAGCAGCCGCAGCAGCGGCAGCAACAGCAGCAGCACCCGCAACCGCAGCCGCAGCAGAAAAACACAGGGGAAGGGAACGGAACGGGTCGGACGGATCCCCCGCTCCCTGACGCCCTTCCGGGCACCCCTGACGGCCAGCAGACTGGGCAAGAAGACGCAGGCGAAGAGTCTTCAAGCACTCTTGCGGCCGCCAGCGGCAACCCTGGCGAACAGAGACCCACAACAGCTCAGACGGCCGTCAGCAGCACCCCTGGTGACGAGGGCCCCACGAGACCTCAAGACACTCCCTCCGTCCGTAGGGCATAATGAGGTACCCTTGCTCCCTCAGCAGCAGCAGCATGGCAGGGAAAAGGAGAGGGAGGCCGCGGAAAAATGGGCGGAAGCTGCGGAGGCCGCGGGGT